AGCTAGTCATAGTGCGGGCAGGTAAACGATTGTTGCCATGCGATTTGATCTCGCACGCATTTGTTGCAATACGTCATACACATTCTTTGTTTCATTGATTCATGTTACTGTGTGACCTACAGAGTACGATGCTGGTGAATGCAGCGCCAAATACGATATTGTTTACCAGTTGTGCCCCAGTACTTACCTTTCACATTTATCCTAAATTGGGCAAACTATGACAACGCTACTCAGTCTAGCATTCTTTTTGTGCTTGGATTTATTCGGTGGTAGGCAGCTGTGCTGTCGTCCGGTTCACTATCACGCTTAAATTATCGGGGCCTTATGTGGTTCGCCACTCCAAGTCCCAGAACTTAGGTTGTCGGTTACCATCACTGAACAGCAGGTCCTCGTTACTGTGGGGTTCGTCCCGTCTGCTGTTCATCACACTTTGGTGTGTAATATAAAGACAAAACTTGGTAATGAACGCTCGCAATTTGAACCGAGCTATACTTCGATATACTCCGCTGCTTACAAAAGACTATGTTGACTGCTGTTTGTACGCATATGTAGGGTAAACCATTTTTGAATTCATAAATGTAAACCGGTGTTGGTTACTGGTGATGGAAGTATTCTATGGGCAGCTTCGTAACGAAGAACATCGAAACCGAAGATAATACTAGTTTTCAAAAACTTATCCTTTCGTGAAACATCCGGCGGACTAATCACCTGACAGAGATCACAGATCACGTGAACCCTCGGCGAACGTTACATGGAATGAACAAACATGCGACAGGAATTCGATTTTGAACATTGAAGTCGTGTTTGTTTGAAAGACCAGTACAGACTTCGTTAATCCTTCACATCACTGCAGAATTATTTGGAAACACTAGCAGCGCCGTGATGTGCGAACGTCCACATATGCACCGTTTACGAGCCAAATGCGTTAATCTTAATTAACTTCTCTCTTGCAAATTGGACTCAACACGCTAAGAGCAATCTTACGCCCATTAAAAAGCTGATGGGAATTTCAAGCATCATCGTGAGAGGTTCAGACTAATGATTTCCAATTTATTTCCATGAAGGTTCTTCGGAAAACAATAGTTTTAAACGCATTCAAAAACTAAGGCTAATGTCGTCATCAGAATAACCAAGTTGGTCGACCAGATTCCTGTTAGGCTTCACATGCGCATGGTAAGGCAATCATGAAGAATACAGTGTTTTGCAACTTGAGAGTAATGGAGGATTTGATTCAATTCAACAAGAAGGAATTCGTCCTGTATGGAACAAACAAAGCGTTAGCTTCTTGGGGACATCGAGCCTCGCTCATCTCAGCCCTAACCTGCGAGATTATGACTCGGTCAGAAAATGTCACAAAATAGCTACTTAAAACATTATAGAGTGGATAGCATACTTACTTCCTAACTATGAGGTCCCGGGTTCGATCCTCAGTTGGTTCGATGGATTCACACTGCGAGTGAGACCGAACCAGGTCGAAACAGCTGTCCGGTGCTTCCGAGCTTTTCAGTTCACGCTTCATTCACTCTATACACGAAGAATTTTCCTTATGATATTGTTTTACCTTTGACATATTTTGCTCTTCAAAATCATTCGGAGGAGGTGAGCTGAACTGGGGAAAATTGCTCGAGTGTTTTGAGTACTGCAAACTGCAAAGAATATTACGAATAGGACAACGATAGTGGTCAGAGTTGACTCCTCTGCATTTGTTCCCGGCTGATTACGCTGAAGTAACCTCCGAAGAATACATAGATCAAGTGACTGTGTGACATTTAGTAACGAATTTTCCATACTATGAGTCATTTTGTTCAGTTCAATAAGCACATTCGCTACTATCAAAGTGAAATCAACGGGGATGTAAATATGAATGATTATTATTTCAGTATTATGTATCACGTTTAACTCCCATAGTAACAACCGCTTGCCTGTCCACATTCTGTCTAGCTGGCAGATGAATCACCCAACTGCCAATTTGGAATTCGGAATGTATGGATATAGGCATATTTCAGTATCCAGTACGCGAGTAACCTGATTCTTTGGGCAAAATGATACAATCAAATGACTGGATCTAGGTGAATGACGCTCATTTGATCAAGAGCATTAGATAAACAAAGAGAGACAGCGCATCCCGGTGGATGAGAGCATTCAAAGAATTCAGCAAATGTCACCATCTCTTTTTGGTAGAAGTCGGCCTTCTCTGACAAAAGGAAGGTCACCACAGAGGCTGAAATGGTACTGGGGTGAGTTCAATGGTACCTGCATGTACTGCATATACAATGAATCTCTTTGCTCGGTTTAAGTTAAATCAATGAAAATGAACGATTATTACATTTCTATGTATAAGAGTGAAACAAGTGGAAATAGATACCAACGACGATAGGAAAATGAGACGGCGATCATGCGTTGTTTGAATTCTCTAGGTTTAGATTTCAAACAGATGGACAATGAAGTGTACTGGATTCGAATGATGATATTGCTTGTTCGCGATGACAGTGTTTCTGGTTCGAATGTGTGTGTACTTTGAGTTGTTTTGGCCGCACAGGGATTACGCTGAGCATATTGTTTGTGCCTCGGATAATCCAAATTTTTGTTCTTGATTGAATAGAACCAATGGGTGTTTTTCGGCTAAGATAGTGCTCTTTATCAGAAGACGGAAAAGCAACCAACGGGTTTATTTTTCGCTCTCTGATCGAACGATTTGGAATATCAATTTTGGGCCATTCTGATTCATTACATTTCGTCAGAAATGGGAAGATCATCATCGTGGTCATCGAACCTCAGAAATAATTTTCCGTGTTGTACATTCAATTATTTATGTTTTAAACAAAGGCTCTGGTACGGCTCGTTTGACTTTTTCTGGTTATATCAGTGTTTGGTTCTATCAACTGGAGAGCGCTTATATTGATCATCTGACGGAATGCGATTTGATGCTTGATATCGGAAATATTTGAATCGACCAATTTTCTCGAGTAGGATTTAGATTATTTCATTTCTGGGACAGAGTAGTGTTCCATAACTATTTTTCCGAGTGCTACGGTGTTCCCTTTCTCTTTCTAGCGTGCACACGTAATCTCCACGTTCCTCGCAATCATTTTGCCTTCCAGCTTACTGATAATGCGGGAATTGATTACCCATCCCTCGGTCCTTTTGTCCCCTTCAGAACAGTCCTAATAAACTCCACCATTGATTTTTGCTCTGACCTCCCTGATGTTTATACCTGGTTTGAAAGAAGAATATCCCACACTGGTTTCTAAAGATCTCCTAATTTTTTGTCCCGTTACATTGGGATCAACACAGTTGTTTCTGTTGAGCTTTTCTTTTATTTCCAAGCATTTCGACGTGATCAAATGTACTGCTAGTCTCGTGAGTTCGCGAAAACCGTGTTCAGTCCCCGAACTTGCTCCAAACTTCAGCTCCTATTAGTGTGTACCCCTACGTATGGAAACAGTGTAATTCCATACCTTGCTCGATTAATTATGCTACAATTATCACACACATAGAAGAAATATTCTGGCATTAGCTTTTTTTCTTTAACTACAGTTTCGAATTTATTTTTTTTTCGATTGTTTCTTGTCATTCACAATTTCTATGCATCCACTGTACAGATTTATAAATTTCTGGAGAATCACCTGTGGGGTGCGCAAAGCGTTTCTTGACTTGACTTGCTGATTACTGTTAAGCTCACAGCATGCATAACAAGTATGATTGCATAAGCCAGGTAGGTGTTGAGTCTGGCTTACCGAATAAGAGGAAGACGTTGTTTATCACGCTACGGCCAATGCATACACAGTAAACAGGTTATTCGTACATGCAAACGAGCCCAATCATTTTGGACGGGTGAAAAATAACAAGAGCGCCATTACTATCGGCTCACTGTCATATCCTTCATTGTTTCCGACCAACCATTAAGATAAAATTTTGATCACAGCCCAGAAGATGAGAGACATTCCCATGTAGTCTCTGGGTGTAATTATTCCCAGTTCGTTTCCACGTCATCCGTTGACTTTCATGTACTTTTACCCCTCTCTCCCCCCTCCTTAGAGCGCCAGCAGCAATCAGGGTCAGTCGCAATGGGTGACTGTAAACCACGTGTGATACCGGTTCTCACCACCGAATATCGAATTTCAATTTGCCTGCGAGTTTTAAATAGGCATCACATGTTACACAATGGCACGCCTCAGGGTTCCTGACCCACTCAATTCATCCGATCAGCACCGAACTACGTACACATAAATATCCTCTAGTCGATCAGCCTCTCCCACATATGTGAAACAAATTGGCCCATCACTATTTTAATAGCTACCGATATTTGCTCTAACTAAGCTGCGTTGCAGGAAGGTTTTTCTAATGTATCACTCTTGTTGAATGGAATCGAGAGATCAATTCATTACTGATGACAGGTGGTGTGTTCGGTCTAAACGTACGAATGACACGAGAGACTCTTGCCTAAGCCCCAACAACAACGCGGAGGGAGAACACAGGTGGAGATAACAATCAGCGTTCGAGTTCGATTCACAATTGTATCGAAGAGATCATGCATACGAGAACGGTGCAGTGACAGACCAATCAGATTGCGTCCTTGACACAGATTGCTCCATCAGACAAACACTAGTGCACTCGTTCTGCAGTCAACCCATCCGGACTGTGTCTGCCTGGAGCGTTGCGAGCATGTGTGTGACCTTACTCGGAGGTGTGCGCGATCGGACAGGTTGTTTAAGCTCCGTCCTAATACCTACCTATTTTGACCTCGAAGACTTGTTGTGGGACACTGAACTAAGGTTGGTTTGGAAGGGTATTCTTCTTGTTGTGCGCATGTGACCCATCCGTCGTCAAGGTTGTGGAATTTCATTTATCTTCACCAAGGGTGCTGTTTTTGGTGGCTCACTGCTGGAGACTGGTTTGACAAACGTATCCATCAATGCATCCAGAGACAACTTTGGTTCGGGGTTCAGTTCGTCGTTGAGGGTTATCGGTTTTAGTTGGTTGGTGTGCCACATCTACACTTCAGAGCCAACTTTTTTCCCGGCGTCGATATACTCGAACAAGTGTCCACCTTCTTTCCTATTCCAGTCCATCATTTTGGTTCCCCACGAACGATCAATTCCGCGTACCAAGGCGCCGGTTGAACTGTAGCTCCAATGTTGTTGGGAGAGCGATTTCCAAGGGTTTGTTCCTGTTTTCGTTCTGGATGATTACGTCTTTTCAAACATTGCCTCTGCCAGAGAGGCATATCGAGATTTGTCGTTGCCCTAAAGTTTTTCAGAAAAATTTCAAGGACTTCTCCCGAGGCATCCTCCATTTTGGATTTCTGTATTGCTCGCTTAAAGTGTCCGCGAAGAGTGGTAAGATGGTACACGGATGTACCTTATGCCAGATCGTTCAAAGAACGCAGAGAAAACAGCTGATATGAATTGACGGCCATTGCCACTCCAGTGTCTGGAGATTTAAACCTGTTGAACAGGCTATGGAGTACATAGATGATAGCTCCAGCGGTTGCACGTTCCATTAGGAATATTTCCGACCATTTTGTATAAGCGTAAACCACAACGAGGAATTGGTGCCCGTTGAGCAGTACGGCAAAATCAAAGTGAACCCGTGACAATGGGGCTATCGGTTTTGGCCACTACTGGAGGCCTGATAGATGCCTTGGTTGCTTGGGGACATTTAAAGCAGGAGTATCCAAGTTCTTCGAGGTGCTGGCCCATATTAGGCCAATAAAGGTAGCTGTGGGTGAGAGCCTTATGCGGTTGATCCTTGGATGACTGGCGGATGACAGTATCCGTCATTCGGGCCTGTATATCTGATTCCACCGACACAGAGGTGATACCCGTGTCTTTCGCCTGTTGACTTCGAGGGTTAATTAGGCGCGAAAGAGCATCTGCCTGCCCAATTTTCTTCGTGGATTGGAACCGTATTCCGAAATCGTATCCCAGTAATATAGTAGCCCAGCGCTGCAGTCGATTCGTTAAGTAAACCGGAACACCTTTCTTCGAACTGATGATCGATACCAACGGTTTACGATCAGTCAGTAGTGTGAAGTGGCGGCCGTATAGCATCCCTTGGAAATTCGTCACGGCAAAGATAATATAAGGGGCCTTTTTTCAATCTGACTGTATTTGCGTTCGGTTGGCGTCAGGGATCATGCAGCGTGTGCAATGGCTTTTTCTCGTCCATCTGGGAACACACGCGAGATGACTGAACCAAAACCATGGTTTAACTTATCGGCAGCCACAGTAATCCTGAGTTCCAGATTGAAGTCAGTCAGAAGCAGTTCGGAGCGTAACATTGCTTTGCCACCTTCAAATGATCGCTGGTATGCCGGTAACCAGTACCACTTTGCACTCTGTTCAGCATTTCGTTCAAAGGAGCGCTCACGCGGTGCATGTCAGGCAGGAATGTTGCGTAGTGGCTCATAAGTCCTAAAATGGACCTTAGCCAACTGACGTCTTGCGGCGAGAGCATTTCGTCGGTGTTCGAAGTGTTCGAGGGATTCTGGTGAAGACCATGTCTGTGGATGATAAATCCAAGGTATTTCATCGAAGGCATGAAGAATTTACGCTTCTCCAATCGCAGGTGAATACTGTATAACTTGGACCGTTTCAGAACACTATGCAATCGTTGTGTGAGTTCAGCGGGTGTCGTGCCAGCCACAATTGTGTCGTCCAGATAAGGAGCAGTACCATCAATACCAGGGAGCATAGTGTTCATGGCCTGTTGGAAAATCTCAGGGGCGGTCTTCACGCCGAATGAAAGTCACGGGTACTGAAACAGACCGTGGTGAGTGCTGATCGTCAAAGTTCCCATGAGTCCTGATCGACGTCTATTTGCATATAAGCGTGTACTAGGTGAAGCTGGTTACCTTTGCGAACAAGTCATCGGCCATAGGTAGGAGACACTGTTGTCCTTTCGGGGTGTCATTCAAGTTCGTGGAGAAATCAGCACAAGTGCGAATGGTACCACGACAATGGGTGCAATCCATGAGGATGAGTTGACTGATTTGATCATACCTACTAGTTGGAGTCGGTCGAGTTGTTGTTCGACTGCTGGCAATGATGCGTCTGTCACTGATTGTGTGGGTCGAAAAACTGGTTCTGCCTAGGGATGGAGACAAAAATAAGCGAGGGTTTTACTTAGGGCCAACGAAATGCCACAAAGCAAGAATGCAAAGTCCAAAAATATCGTTCGACATGTTGGAAACCTTCTGTATGCCGAGATCACCACAGCCAGGTGAAGTATAACAGTTACCAAACCCGAAATTGTTAATTTTGACAAGACAACGTACAAATGGGAAACGGACGAAAATTCTCGTGATTGGCATTTGAAATGGTTTGGTATCGGCCATAACGTGCGGGTGTTTTCTCGAGGAGGCTTAGTTGCGCACTCTGTCCATCTACGTTCTCGTAACCCAGATTCCGGACAGATGAGTAGACTGTAATCAACTCCATATGCACCGCGCCTTTCTCCATTTCTCAGTCCACGCTTGGCTGGCACTACCAATAAAGACTTGCATTGTGTACAAGTTTGAGCGTTGAGATGCTCATCGGGGGCCAAGGTTCCATGATAATTCCGGTCATACACAACATTCTCCTTCGTTTTGCAGTGAAATGATGACTTTTTTAACGGTTGGATAAGTAATGTGCTTCATATTTGTCATGATTTTCCCAAAGTCCGCCATGTGAACCGTAGTTTATTGCCAGGATTCCATGGACTCACACCGTTCATCGGATAAAACCAATTGAATCCCGAAACGAATTATTATTGATGTCGAATTGTCCACATCTTCTTATTGTTCAAAAGATCGTGGAGTTTCTAGACCAAAAAGCCAAGTGATTTCAAAATAAAGCGTAATCATTACATTGAAGTCTATAGAGCAGGCAAAGAGTCTTAATGTCCTTCGCAGAAATATGGTGTACTTCGACGTAAAACCCCTGTTTACAAATGTAATATTCATCGAAACAGTGGATCACATATATGACCGATTACAATCAAAGATCCTTCAAACCGGTATTCCCGTGAATAAATTGAAAGAGACAATTCGCAGATGCACATTTGATGTACAGTTCTTTTACGATGACCAGTTCTACAGACAATTCGACGGGGTAGCTGTGCGCTATCTAATGGGTTCCGTGCTTGCAGATATCTTACTAACAAAACTGTAGATGGAAATTTTGAAAGGGACTGCTTGAAATCTAGATGGTTGTTGGAGATATCGCGATGACAGGTTCATTGTTCCTGATTCCCACCACTCTTACGAGTAGCTTTTCAACGTATTCAATACTTGTCATACGATTATTCAACTGTGAATTAGAGAAAAACAGACAATGGACCTTTTCAAACGTGCTTGTAGTAAGACCAGAGGACGCTAAAAATCTAACGAAATGTTTTCCACTGAATAACATGGCTTAAACAGTAAATGCCATTTTTGACGTTTTTCCGTGAAATTCAAATGCAGCTTGAGAAGATTATTATTATTTTGAGAGATTTTCAGTGATAATAAATTTCCTTCCGAGACACATTTTATTCATAATCCTGTTTGAACGTATGGCTAGGTAGCAGCCATTATTGATAAACATAGACGATTGCGGTTAGACATATTCAAAATCCCGACCGCTCATTGAGCGAAATGTTTCGGAACCATTCCGTTTAATGGCGACCATGCTATGGAAAATCTGAAGGGACGTCTATCTAAAGCAATCTTTAGAACGTTCTCTGCATCCCAATTAATTATTGTTTCTTCTCCTTTTCGTTTTTACTTTTTTTGTATTGAATCTATAATGACAGAATTTTCAGGAAGGGAGATAGGGTCAGTCAAAGGGCTGCCATACAACACGCAAATGGGGAAAGTCAGGCGGAGATGATGGGATTCGAACACTTATCCGCCGGGGTGATAATTTGATGATGCTACCACCGGGCCATCACCAGTCAGTCTTTAATATTCCAGGAAACAAAATGTAAGTTGCCTCATCAGTCTATCTCCTTTGTTTTCTTTTGTATGTGCACTTGTAGTGTGCGATACCCTGGAGACACGACCATGCGATCAAAATGTATTTTCAACCACTAGTCCGCCACAAAGAAAGTGTTAAATGTATTTGCAGCTCGGTTTTCGTTTCCCGCGGCTGTGATAGTCAAGTAGTTAAGGTACTCAAAATAGTGACCTGGAGGTCCTCAGTTCTAATCTCAACACCACTGCCAATCTATCCAATTTGTCTATTATCACAGGCAGCCTGTGTATGACCGCTAACCCCTTCCTGAAAGTTAAGTGCATATTTGTATATGCCATAAATAAAAAAAGAATGTACAACTGTTTATTTAAATTTTTTTGCCAACGAATTGAAGGCCTCAAAAATAATGCACACCAATTTCTCAGGGGGGGGGTATTTGTTCCCAAGTTGAAAAATGTGAACGTACAAGTGACAGTATGAAGTCTGTCATTCTTCTGCTGGTGTGTGGATGATATCCATCTCCAGATCAAAAATCAAACGCCTATAGAAAGGTTTTTAAATCCCTTCAATAGGGCTCATATCACCACCAGTTTTGGCTCCGAATTAAAATCAGGAGACTACATTTAACTACTAAATACAAGTGCTACGGAAGTGCCATAAAGCACTGTGTTTACTCTAAATTCACTTGGACGGATCAACTTTATAATTTTCTAGGAAGAAGTGGTTAGTCAATCAGTCATTCGGAACGCAGTAAATAGGGAAAGTTAGTCAATGGTGGTGGGATTTGGAAACACGTCCTACGGGCCGTCAAATATCTGATCGTGACCTCTTGACCATGCTTAATGATATACAACAAACGCTCTTTGACAACCATTTTTCTGAACGGTTCGTTCTAAAGTATAGAACAAAACGAACTCCACAATCACCACTGATAGCAGTTGGAAGAAAAGAGCCCCTCTCAGAAAAGGCCATCAATCGTAATTTTCTTGCTGCAACGCTACATACCCAATCCTTAAGATGACGCATCGACTCCTCATATCTTACAAATACATTACGAGTCCTCTCTTTATCTATGATTCTTCACCTCTTTCCTTGTCTTTTATTCGGCAAGGTACGTAGGAAGAGCCATCAGACTA